AAAACCATGGTTGGTTTAATCAACTCCTCAGTGAACTTTTAATGTTGATAGCTTAAACATATAATCGAAGAATTTGAATTATATTACAAAATCATTAAAGGGCTCAAAGTATCATTTACGCTATAGATTTACTTTTTAATTTCATTTCATAAGTGTACCTCCTAAGCAATTTAGTTCAAAACTTTGAAAGTCAACATTTTTCACTGAAACTTTAACAAGCAGGGGCATTTTGATAAGGGTGCGGTTTGTATGGAGCCTAGGCTCTAAACAATCAAATTAGAGCCTACCTTTGAATAGTATCGAGAAATGTTGTTTCAACATTGGAAATCTTTGTGATAGCTTTAGAATATATTTTTTTCTTTATCTATAAAGTTTAAAGCTTTAAACATAGTGTGGATCAACAGATTTATGAAAACTTGAAAATCTTGAAATCGACGGTCAAAAACTACATTACGAAAATACACTATTTTCAAATCTTGAAATCCAATTTTTTTTCATGTTCATGCATCTTGATGCCGAGATGATCAATTTGAAGATATTTGAGCATCAAAACAACCTCTCCTAGTGAAATTTTAGTGAAATTTTTGAGGTAGGCTCCAATTTGATGGTTTAGAGCCTCAGCTCTATATAAACTTTTTCCTTTTGATAATTTGGTCTACTTATGTGGCTCAAGCCAATTATGAGATACAACTAATTATTCAGGGGTTCTGTTGTGCACACGAAAGCTCTAAATTCGATGGGTTGATTTTTGACAAATGAAGTATGAGAAATAAAGTATAAAACACTATCACAAGAACACAAATATTTACATGGTTCACCCAATAGGGTTACATCCACAGGCACGACAAACAAAAATCCATTATACCAATGAAAGTTACATCAAATATTTTGAAACAAATATCGACAAAAATCCCAAGTCGAGCAAACCTTTTTAAACAACTCTACATTCCTTCTCTTTACTTCTAGTAATAACAACAACACCAGATAGAGACGCGAGAGCAACGAGAAACTAACATTCTCTCCTACTAAAAGGTGAACAACCTAAAATCTCTATAGGAACCGTTTCTTTACAAGAAACAAATAAGCCTCTCAATCTTCGGGAGTCCTAAGCAAGCACCATCACAATGTTTCTGTTCAAATCAAGCTTTCTTCTCTATAAGAGGAAATTGCATCTTATGCACATGACGCCCTAGCTTTCTCTCTCTCTAGAGGAACTACCATTCTCATATGGTGACCTAAATAGGGCACACAAATTCTTTGCACTTTCATCTCATATTTATAAGATTCGGAGTTCATATTAAATAGAAAACTTTCGATATATATAAAAAAACCAAGAGATATATCGAAGAGTCCTAATCCTTTCTGGATTTTATTTCCCTTAGGAAATTTATCAATATAAATCTCAATCCCATAAAATATGAGAATATCTCGATCCCACAAATATGGGATTTACTTATGTGGGTGATTTTAGATAACACCAAATCCAAAAATCTCCACCTTGATATCAAAATCATTTACTCACCATGCCAACATCCATTGGATAGCTTTATGGATTTTTCATCTTTTGCCAAATAACTTCCTTCATCATTCTTGCTAAAAATAATATTTGCCATTAAATTTCTTCACCTTAAACTTTGCATTCGAAACCTTTATTGTCTGTGATACCACTTGTTGTGCTCTGATACTACTTGTTGTGTGCGCCGAAGCTCTAAACCCGATGGGTTGATTTTTATCAAATAAAATATGAGAAATAAAATACGAAACACATATAACAAGAACACAAATATTTACGTGGTTCACCCAAGAGGTCTACATCCACGGGCACAACAAACAGAAATCCACTATACCAATTAAAGTTACATCGAACATTTTTTATCAAACCTCGACAAAAATCCCAAGTCGAGCAAAGGCTTTTAAACAACTCTCTATTCATTCTCTTTACTTCTTGCAATATCGACAACACCAGATAGAGACACGAGAGCAATGAGAAACTGATTTTCTCTGTTACTGAAAGGGTAACAACCGAAAATCTCCATGTGAACCGTTTTTTTTATAAGAAACAAACAAGCATCGCAATCTTCGAGAGTCCTAAAGAGGATCCATCACAGTGTTTTTGTCCAAATGAAACTTTCTTCTCTCCAAGAGGAAATTGTATCTTATGCACTGGAGGCTCTAGCTCATTCTCTTTCCAGAGGAACCACCATTTCCATATGGTGACCCAAATAAGGCACACAAATTCTCCGCAATTCATCTCATATATATAAGATTAGGAGCCCATATTAAATAAAAAACTTCAAATAGATATCACATATATCTCAAAAGACCAAGAGATATATAGAAGAGTTCTAATCCTTTTTGGATTTCTATTTTCCTTAGGAAACTTCTCAATATAAATCTCAATCCTATAAAATATGAAAATAACTCAATCCCATAAAATATGGGATTTACTTATGTGGGTGATTTTGGATAACACCAAATCCAATGATCTCCACCTTAATATCAAAATCACTTGCTCACCATGCCAACATCTATTAGATAGCTTCATGGATTTTTCGTCTTTTGTCAAATAAATTTATTTATCATTCTTGCTGAAAAATAGTGTTTGTCATTAAATTTATCCACCTCGAACTTTGCATTCGAAACTTTTATTGCCTTATCAAATACCCTAAACCAGGGCTCTGATACCACTTGTTATGCGCGTGGAGCTCTAAACTCGTTGGGTTGATTTTTGGCAAATAAAGCACAAGAAATAAAGCACAAAACACTTATCACAAGAACACAAATATTTACGTGGTTTACCCAAGAGGGCTACATCCACGGGCACAGCAAACATAAATCCACTAGACCAATGAAAGGAACATCATAGATTTTGGAACAAACCTCGACAAAAATCCCAAATCGAGCAAACCTTTTTAAAAGAAACAAACTAAAAAGGGAACAACGAGAAACACCTTTTTGAGAGACACGAGAGCAACGAGAAACTGACTTTCTCTCTTACTAAAAAGGGAACAACTAAAAATCTCTATGGGAATCGCTACTTTACAAGAAACAAACAAGTCTCTCAATCTTCGAGAGTCTTAAAGAAACTCATTTACTTCTTGCCATATCGACAACACCAGATAGAAACGCGAGAGCAAAGAGAAACTGACTTTCTCTTTTATTAAAAGGGGAACAACCCAATATGGGAACCGCCTCTATACAAAAAACAAACAAGCCTCTCAATCTTTGGGAGTCCTAAAGAGGTTCCATCACAATGTTTCTATTCATATGAAGCTTAGTCCTAAAGAGGTTCCTTCACAATGTTTATATTCAAATGAAGCTTTCTTCTCTCAAAGAGAAAATTGCGTCTTATGCACTGAAGGCTGTAGCTCACTCTATCTTCAGAGGTACTACCATTCCTATATGGTGACCCAATAAAGCACACAAATTCTCTGCAGTTTCATCTCATATATATATAAGATTAAGATTCTATAGTAAATATGAAACTTCCGATAGATATCACATATATATCAAAAGACCAAGAGATATATCAAAGAGTCCTAATCCTTTTTGGATTTCTATTTCTCTTAAGAAACTTATCAATATAAATCTCAATCCCATAAAATATGTTAATATCTCAATCTCACAAAATATAAGATCTACTTATGTGGGTGATTTTCGCAAGCCCCAAATCCAACAGATACATAATAGTAATGACAATATTCTTAGTTTTGTATTGCTAACCCTGAATAACCAAAGGTATTTTTATAATGGAAAATCTTTTAATATGCGCTGGACTTCTTTTCTACATATATAGTCCAGAAAGTGTAAAGCATCCATATTAAAGATGGATGCAAGTAGGTGTTCCATCTAAAGACAAGGCAAACTAACGGTCCAAATGTTTTCTTATTAGAAATATAATTTTTAGTTTTTCAAATTTATTTATTTTTTCATATTCATGATCTTCATGTTAGCTATTAAATGTCCTTAAAAATTAAGTCTTAAATCCATCTCAATAGATTTATTAAGAGGCCCACATTTCTACATGTGCAGGCTTGGTTGCATAAAAACTGAGTCTTTTTATAATTGAGTCACTTAAATGGCCAAATGACCAAAATGGCCATGATTGTTTTGGCTTCCGAACTCGACCAAGAGTAATTTGAGATTTAAAATTTTTTTTTTTTGAGGAGTGCCATTTTTTAAGAAAAACTTAAAAAGTAAACAATCCAGTGGCAAATGAGCCCTCTTAATCCATCATTATTTTAAAAGATTAATTGAGCTTTTATATCTATAGAATGATTGTAGAAGATATAAGGATGTTGAGATAGATGAGCGACAAGATAAGAAGGGATAGAATTCGAAATGAATGCATTTGAGAAAATTTAAATGTAGTTCCAATAGGCGATAAAATGAAAAACAGTCATGGGCTAACCATGTGTGGTGCACATTCAATATAACATCTGTTAGGAGGTTCGAGTTAGTTCAAGTGGAAGACTAAAAAAGAATAAAAGATAGACCCAAATTGACATAATTGAAAATATGACCTTCATATAGCAGGATAGCAGACTAGATTAGTGTAGCCGACCTAAATTAATTGGAAAAATCTTTGACGATGATGATGATAATTTGAGCCAACAATTAATATTTTGCCATATTTCACATTTCCTGACAGCCCATTTTCCTAAACTTGAAATTTAAAAATCCTGAGAAAATCCCTTCATTTTTTGATATCCTAAACTTCTAATACGTAACAATGCCTAATTTTGGCCCTAAAACGAAAAACTTTTGGAAAAAAAAAACAGAAAGCAAAAAAGTACCAAAATGTCATTTGGTTAATTCCTTGGTGCCGGGGGCACGGCCAAATCCAATGGATTGTTGCCTGCTGAAATGATAGGGGTACTTCGGAAGATTTTCATTATCCAGTAGGCAAATTTAGTCCACAAAATATTTACTGAACGGCTTAGATTGTATCCCAATTAGGGTTTTGCAACTATAAATACGATGCCGTGCGTCTTGCGAATGAGGGCATACAATACGCAAAATCAGGGTTACAAACTTCTATTCTCAATTTTATGAGATTGAGGTACTGAGCAATTAGAGTTTCTATTTTTCTGATTTTATGTGGATTTTACATTTGTTTTTTCTTTGTTCCCTGTTATGCTTGTGTTTTTATTCCGCCATGTTGATTGATTGAGGTACTGGGCAATTAGGGTTTATATTTTGCTGATTTTATGGGGATTTTACATTTGTTTTTTCTTTGTTCCCTGCTTTTTCATATTGAATGTTTTCGTTTTAATCTACATTTGGGATTGTGAGGAAATTATAACGAGTTAGTATGATTGATGATTACATCTTGGTTCTCGCTACGTTCTTTCTGAATCCAAATTTCTATGCATTTAATCTTATTTTGTGGGAATTTTCTCTTTTTTCTCTTATATATACAAATATAATTAGTTAGATCTAATGAAACCGATTTACCGCTCTCTCTTTTATATGGCTTTGCAGATAGGGATGAAGAGAATATGCATAATCCAACACTTGATCTGACATTTCAATGTGAAGGATAATTTCTGGTTCTGAGTCTGTAAATTATCAATTTTCATTTCAGTATTAGTTTAGTTTCTTCTATAAATTTGATATTTCAATCAAGGATAATTTCTGGTTCTGAGTCTGTAAATTACCAACTTTCATTTCAGTATTGGTTTAGTTTCTTCTATAAATTTGATATTTCAATCAGATGATGAGACTCAGAAAATCTTAGGACACCTTCCTACACAGTTATAAAATAACTGTGGATGAGAAAGACTTTCTATCTCTGATGATAAGTATAATAATGGGATATTTTTTTCCATGTTTTCTAATCTCTTTTTTTTTTTTAGATTTAATGTCTCGGAGGGTAAATATTCTGCTCAACATTCCTGCAAAATTTTGTCTTCAAAGGATATTTTTAACGCTTTATGAAACCCAAATATATTCATCAGGAAAATTTGGAGCTCGGAATGTTTTTTTATTTCCTCAATCTTACAAAAAATTGTTTTTGAGAAATAATAAGAATTATTTTGTGCTATACTAGTGTTTCAATTAATTAGAAATTTTAACCCAAACGCCGCCTTGAAACCCAAATCCTCATGTCCATCGATCTGTAATCTCTTCTTTTTGTTTTGGAAAATTTTCTTCCTCTCTTTTGGTATCAAGTTTTTGCTTCCTTTCTTTTGTTATCTAGTTTTTGGGAAAATATCACTAAAGCGATTACCCCTGTAACATTTTTAAGGAAAAACTTTATACAAGTGAAATTAAGGCGCGCCTCAAAAATTTTACTGCAAGAGGTTGTTTTGATGCTAAAAAAATCCTCAAATTGATTATCTTGACCGCAAGATGTATGGACCTGATGCAACTGCCCGATCTAGTTTTGGGTGGTTTTGTGATCGGTTGGTATTTAAAAAATAAAATAAAAAATATGTATAAAATCTAAAAAATAAAGAAATTTGGTTTGTAATACATTTTTTAATACTTTTTAGATTATTCTAAATATTAGAAATTGTTTTGATCATTAATACTCACTTTTATATTTTTCCATCTTTTTTGAAAAATTTTAAAAATATTATTAGCCACAAATTGATTATTTAAAAATCAGTTTATTTTCCATTAATTTTGAACTTCATTGGAATGCATTTTGTTTGAGTGGTGTGGTTTCTATAAGGTTGCAACTTTAAGGTGCACCTTCAAATTTGATGATAACATATTATTTTGATGTAAATTATTCTTAGGATCATCTCAAAAACTATTTTCATATCTAATTATAAAATTTCACATTATAAAAATGGTTAAAATCAAGAAGATCTATATTCATATGAAAATTTGAAAAATGGATAGTTTAGATAATGTGTTGTAAGTAGCACTATTTATGTGACTCAAAATCCTTTTTTCTTTCGTAACCATAGGTCTCGATGCCGAGATGCTCAATTAAAAGGTTTTTCAACATTAAAATAATATTTTTCAATGGATTTTTGAGGTTCATATGTAGTTTTACATTTTAAGTTTGTAATTTTATATAAACTTTTTCTTTTTTTATATGTTTTTTGTATTTTATCTTTTTTTTTATCTTTTTTAGTAGTTTTTTTTTATCTTTTTTATCTGTTTTTTGTATTTTAGTAGTTTTTTTAATCTGTTTTTTGTATTTTAGTAGTTTTTTTTTACCTGTTTTTATTTTTTTCAATAATTTGTTGACCGCTCGGGACGTGTCCGGTTAGAACGGTTGAATCAGTTGGTCTACGTCATTAGAAAAAAAAAAAAAAAAAGGATTCCAAGTTTTGAAAATTGTGCATTTTGTAATGCATTTTTGGATGTCAATTTTGAAGATTTTCATAGATTTGCTTGAGCTACACTAATTTTTAAGCTTTAAATTTTATATTTAGAGTTGAAAATAAAATTTTAAGGTTATCAATTTGTAGTATTGAAACAACATTTCTTAACTTTATTTGAAGGTGTGTTTTATTTTTTATTGTTTAGAGCCTCGGTGCATTTTATTTAGATTGTTTAGAGCGTCAGGCTTTATATGAACCGCACCCAATTGTTAATGGTTCAAACATCTCTTATTTTTTCTTTTCCATTTTAATTAGAAACCTAAAAAAAAAACACTTAAATTATGTTTATTTGACAGCGGTTGAGAAAAAAGTTACGATGATGATGAAATTATGTTTTTGGTCTAGTCCTCAGGTTATGAAAGTTGAATAGCTCTGCACTAATCAACTTGGTGCTAACTGATAAGTATAGGAGTTTTGCATCGGCCATCGGATATTTAATAGAAACGGCAGAATTAGTGATATGGAATGTCATGAAAAATTAATTAAAAAACATTTAAAAGATGGAAATCTGGGTAGAGGGACCCTGATCGTCGATCCAGTTGCCAAAGGGACGAACCTAAGAAGATAGCGAAAAAACAAAACTGAGCGTACTTTGTGATTTAGCCGAGCCGACGCCCTTTCCTTGCTGTAAACGCATTTCCCTGCCTCAAATACTACGTTTAAATTGGATGAGTAAAATCTACTTGTTAAAGACTCAAGTCGATAAGTGGTAATCTTTTAAGGAAAGGTTTATACAGGGATGAGGCTCTAAACAATCGAATGAACTAAAAAATTCACTAGAAGGGGTTTTGATCAATGTTGTCAGATTTGTTATTTTTTTTTTTTTTTTTTGCTTTGCCCTAATCTTCTGCTGAATTGGCTTGAAGCTGATTGAAGCGGCCAAAATTTCATCGCTTTGGCCTAATCTTTGGCTGATTGGCCCAATTTTGACTGCTTTGGCCTAATCTTTGGCTGATTGGCCCAAATTTGATTACTTCAATCTAATTTTCAGTCAAATCGGCTTGAATCGGATCAAAGCGGCCCAGATTTGACCGAAACAACATCAGTCTTTACTTCGGTTCATACCTAACATTAATGCCCAACATACTAAGGCTTTTTTATTGCTCTTGCTCGTTCATGCCTAACATACAAGGGGTTTTTTATTGCTCTCGCTTATCATACGATTAATTTGGCACGAGCCACACTCTCGCTCATCATACGATTAATTTGGCATGGGCCACATGAGGTCGAGTAATTTACCACACAAATTGATTAGTCGGGTATTCCTTCCATTAAAGAGCGTTTTCATGGGGTAGAATCTCCTCCGGAAATGTAAGGTTTATGAGGCCAATCTTGAGCCACCATCCATGCTCATTTAATAGAATATTTTTGGAACAAGAAGTCGAATATTTTTGGTACTAAAAGTCTCAAATTCAAGAACTTCTACTGCAGGTACCTTGGAATACGAAGTCATAATCACTTAAGTTCAAAGCCAGACTGACTGCTCCAATAACACATCCATAAATCAGTTATTGGTACAATAACATAAAGAAATGTAACCAATGTTTATTGGAAATAACCACCACAAAGGTTTTGTGGTTTGGGACCAAAGGCAATTAGCATTGACTATCGAATAAACCTCTTCAACTTGAGTTGGGATAAAAGCACGGAATACATTTGTCCCACAACCATCTTCAAATAAAGTATTTTTTATGGTAGCACCATGAATAGTGCATAGTAGCACTCAATACTCTAACAACTCCCATCATATGAAATAGATTCAACATCCAATTATGAAATCTTTGGAAGAAGTGAATGAAGCAAAATATAGTTACAACATCGAAAGTCAGTGCAAAGAACTACTAGACTGACCTAGTAAATAAATCAGGAATATGGAAATAAAAACAACAATGGAGTGGAGAATGTGATTGTGTTATAAACTTGTAATCGAACAGATCAAGCAAGGTCAAATTAGTGCAACATGAAACCTAGTAGTTTGAAAGCACCATAGAGAGCAACAAAAGTCCACATACCATATAATTGACACCAATGAGTAAAATCTCTTAGTGCTTCTGGACCCCATAGTAGCAACAAAGCATGTGCTAAATTATTAGCAAGAGTAGAAGTTGTAATTGTCACCGACTAAAATCTCCTTGTGCTTCAAGACCTTACAGTAGTAATAAAGAATATGCTAAACTATCAACAGGAGTAGAAGTTGCAGTGGTTAAAAGAAAATGCGTCCTTCCAAATAAGAGAACTAATTGCAGTGGTTAAAAGAAAATGCATCCTTCCAAATAAGAGAACTAATCCGTGGTGTACCATGAAGTTACAAAGGTTGAACCTATGAACCACCATCCTAAAGAAAAATACAAACAACAATTGCAATCATTTTTTAACACTTCATATCACTATGATTAAAAAAAAATATATAGTTCGATTATTTATGTGTGGTTGATTACTCACCCATTGCCCCTTCCAAAATATCGGATTTTGAAGATATAGATCCGTTGTGCAAATAAACCTAAGTAAAGGCATGTTATCCCAATTTAATTATTGTTTCCTATTCCTATATCTGATCCATGAATTGTCACATGACTCATTAATCAGATGAAATTTATAAAAAAAACTTTCAAGGAATAAGTGATCCCTTCTTTCACAATCAGTTTCTTCTTAGATCCTATCTCCCTTTTCCATCAAACAGAAGTTCTATCTCCATGTTCCATCAAACAATATCTCCTTGTACAAGAGTTCATATTTGAGGTTGAGGAGTCTATGGCTTTGATACCATGATAGAATTTTAGAATATAGAATTTCAGAATACTGTAGAGAACTCTATGTATTAATCGATTAAAAAATACACAATACTCGTATAAATATATGGTCAGTAACAGTCACAAATAAATACTTATATCTATCATACATATCAATGACATCTAAACTTATCATAATCAAGAGATATACATCCATACGACCTAATCTAATTAGGACATACATGTCCCTACTCGATGTGTCCATATCTATCCATCAATATCTTTCCATACGATAACAAAATTAAAAAAATTTAAACAAAATTCAAAAAAATTATTAGGAACAAAACTATAGAACATTTTTTAATCTATTACAACTTTTCCTAGTTCTATTGAAATGTTAAAGAATAAAAAATAAAACCAAAAAAAGAAAACTAATATTTAACTACTAAAAGTGTATATAATCTACCAAAAAAGTAAGAACCTAAAACAATATACCTATTGAAGCAACAAAAACAATTAAATTGAATAAAAGAAATACTTTATTGCATGGATTTGAAAAGGAATATTATTTCTAGCAAAACCCCTAAAAATTTATTAATTTTTTTTCTATAAATATAAAATAAACAAATAAAAAAAAGTGTAAAAAACTTGCTTGGGGCTTGAAATAGGTCAGAATTTTCAGAGCAACTGTATCTATAAAAATCTACTTTGAAGCCCCAGAACCCTCCTACTGTGATGGTCATGTATGAAATCTATCACAGAGAGAGAGAGAGAGAGAGGCGTAGAAATATAGTGTAATTTTTTTGAACAAGTAGAAATACAGTGTAATAATAGTCCATAGACTATTAAACAACCTATTAATTATAATAACCATTTTTTTTTTGTTGCAAGGTAGAATAACTTCTTCGAAGATATCTCCTTCAATGAGCAGATGTCTATATATTATCTACAAATTTCATACTCAGATAAATAGTTAAAAGCAAATTTTGATTCAAGGTTTCGGGTTACAGTCTGCCAAACATTACCGAAAATGTGAAATCAATTATACATGATTTATATGTTTATTAAAAATGGGAAAGGTCAAGCTTGAAAACTTATTTCTAGTTATAAAGGTAAAAAAAAAGTATTGAATGAGACAATTTACTTTTGGTATAAGATGGTCACAATTAATCTTGACCATTGGATATGAAATTATGTGGCAGCATTTAATTCATTGACCAAACTCAAAGCTAAGAAAAAATATTCTCAAATTTTGTGACATACCCAAATTAACAAATTGTACATCGGTTGGTTATAAGCAATTGTGACATTGTACCAAGAGTAAATAATTTTATTACATACAATCCCATATGTAAATATATTGCATAAACAGCCTGTTTCAAGCAAACAAACGTACCCTAGTAAGTAAAGGTATAGTAATTTCACTAAGACCATGCCTGATGGCTACGGGATCCAAATAGTACACTTGGGCCTGCCACCAAAAATATTAGTCGGGGGATTTAATCTATCGAGAATCTCGTTGAAACGAATTCTATACATCCTAAGAGCAATATAGGGTCATGTGGTAGCACCCCCATGCCAAAGTCATTACGTTGTGGTTTCTATTTCTACTGGTACCACTCAACTAACTAACACCTTCAAAATGTTAACTTCTAACCTATTTGAAAAATTAAGTAGGGCCGGTCTTCCCCACGAATTACCCAAAAAAAAAGAAAAGCAATATCAAAGCAAAGGACAAAAAAAGAAAGAAAAAGAAAACGAGTTTAAGCTTAAAAATTTCCAGCCCTAGTATTCCTTCTAGATTCAGTCTCGGATATGATTTTGATTTAAGACACTTTTTGGGTTTTAAAGCAATGTTTATTCTTTAATTGATCTTAAAGTGTGGTTATAAACATATTTAAGAGTTTCGGGGTTGCATTAGACAGTCCCATACAAGAGTTTCATATGCAGGTGCTCACCAAAAAAACAGAGAAAAGTTTCACATGTAGGTCCAAATGAGCAATTTGAACTAGAGATATCCAAATGTCGAAGCCGTTCTATTAGAGTTTTGATTGATCATCAAACTAGTTGGACTGTTAAAACCCCTAATCTGTCTCCGAAATGTTTCTCCAATTCATTAAAATCCGGTTTTTGATGATCTGGTTTTGGTAAAGGGTCCATTTTTGGAACAGCTAGGTGTCCACACACTAAAATATTACAGCCTTTTGTAGTGCCATGAAACAAGTACAAATTATTTAGCCCCACTTGTAGGCGTGGGAACAGGGCGGGCTGAGCCCTAGACCAGGCCCAACCCTGACAAGGCAAAGAGGCCATGGCCCAAGCCTGGCCTTGACCCTATCAGTGCGGCCGAAGAGGCCGTGGCCCAAGCCTGGTCTTGACCCGTCAGTGCTAGGGTGGACAAGACCAAATACAATAAACATAAACAAAAGCAATAAGAAAAAAGGGCCAGGATGACCCGGCCTGTAGCGGACCTGCCCCACCCCATGCCTGCCATTTCCTCAGGCCATGGTGGCCCGGCCCTTGGGCCACATTTTGTGACCAAGGCCTTTATTTTTTCGGGCCGAGCCAATCGCACTGGGCCAACCGGCCCATTGCCCTACCCACTTGCACAAGGGTGACACACTTCAGTATAATTTGCTAGCAAACTAGGGGTACATTCTCCAAACAAAGTGTGAGATCTAGCAAGCACATAAACCGGAGTCTAGAGTTATTGTGACCTTATATTCCACTTAGGCTTTAATTTTTAATATCTAATGTTGACCACGCAAAATAAGCGCTGAGCTGCAGACTTGATAAGTATCAAGTCTTCTATAGAATTGGTTTGAAGTAATATAATAACCATATCAATGGTTTCAAAAAATATAATAACTATAGTTTCATAACTATGATTGTCACTAATTCTTAGACAGTCTATGAAATTTAGAAGGAAAGGGAAGAAATCAATACAGGGTTTTGCACTGCCACCAGATTAAAGTAATCATAGGGCAAGCTACATTAAAGTCCTTGCTTCTTCTGAAAATTTATGAAAAACCCTCTTGTAGTCCCCTTGTTATATATACTCACTGTACCATTCCCGATCGGCTGGCTTGGCTGAATCGTTGAAAAGTCGGCAAAAAAGTTTTGAAAATAATAGTATATAGTGATTTTAGAAGGGAGAGGACTTGTATTGCAATCCGGATTACGATTCCCTGTCCAAATTACAGACTTTCAAACCCCAAAAAATTACCTATCCCTAAAGACGGCGTGGGATTTTCGGAAGTGTTTGTGATTGGAATTACTCTAATAAAACCTTGTAAGGTCTTAAAATTAACCCTATAGGGGGTTTTCTCCTAAGGGGACAAATGAGTAATATACTCCCACGGGAGCATGATATCTTTGGTTAGCCAAATTCATGTTTTATGTTGATTATTTTGGAGCACTTGAGATTTCTATTTGTTGGGTGATTTGTGGGCATTTCCTTAATTTCCAAGAAATATGAAGGCGTAAGCTGAATGCTCACATGGGACTTGGAAACCAGGGGCCAAGAATTTAATGTCCTTGAAGTCAAAAGAGCTCTGATGCGTACACGTGGAAGTCATTCCATGCGATGGACGGCATCCTCTCTCTTAATTTTGGCGGGCAACCCATGTGTGCCCAATTTCAATTCACCCTTCAAACGTCCCTTTTTCCCTTCAATAAGCAAACCAAATAAAAATATGATTTCCTTTACTATAATAATTAGTTTAAAAATAAAATTAATATTTAAATTCATCTATTAAAAAAATAACGCATTTCTCGCCTAAAAACCAGATCACCAACCTCCGCCTCCATGCAATTGCAAACAAACACCGGGAACGTTACGCTTCTTCCGTTTCATTCCAGCAAAATATTCAATATATTTATCTTACAATAACATGATATATATAATATAATGAATGCTAATATTTTAGAATTGCAATTATAATAGTTGTACTATTGAATTATTTTCAGTTCAATTCCGAAATATTATAATAATTGGCAGCGAATCTGTGGCTGTAGTGGCACGGAGAAGCCCCATTGGAGCTCGTAGGATCTCCATACGTAATGTCTAACCAGGAGAGCTTTTTTTTTTTTTAAGTTTTCCCTTCATTTTAGTGATTTTAAAAAATGCCTGAATAATAACTTGTATTTTTTTAATGAAAATCTAGGAAAACTAAAACATAAATCAACTTTAGTTGTTAGAATTTTAAATTTTGTGGCAAAAAATGTGCCATCCATTAGGTTCAAAATTTTTAAAAAAATTTATCAAACTTTATTATATACCCTAAGCCGTAGGAGCATTTGAGATTAAGACTGACTTGATTGTACCAAAAATAACCTATAATATAAACTCATTTTCCAAAATGTCCCATTTTCTTGTTGTTAATTTGTTGTTTTAGAAATAATATGTATATAAAAGCTTGATTTAGAGAGATGGAAGTGTTTATTGTGACAATCAACTTTACGGGTGGGTTTTAAATTGTGTGGCCAAGGTTATACCATTCACCACAATAAAAATTCAAAAAAAAGTTTTTGAACTTTATAACCCGCCTCAGGCCGTAGGATTTCACGTATGATATTAAGACTAATTATGATCTACTTCTACCAAAGGCAAACAGCCTCATAGAATATACTACCTTTGGCGATTTATCCCTTTTCCCTTGTGTTTACGCATTGTTTTTAGAAAGGCTATACTCATAGAAACTTTAAGGGAAAATTGCATAATACTCTAAAAAATGGACTTTCTAAACACTTCAACTAAACGTAACTTTTTTTAGCAACTTTTTCCTCAAAAACATGTTTCATAGCATATACACCCCAACTCAAAAAAAAAAAAAACGGAGACTAAAATGCTCCTCCCTTACCTTACATTGACCATGGTGGTCCGGCACTTCACAATGACGGTCCGGCACTTCACAATGACGGTCCGGCACTTCATCATGCAGTTCGGAGTTTGGAAGAGGTGGTCCGGCATTTGCTTCTGGATTAATGAGTGGTCCGGCATTTGTGAGCTACGGTCCGGTAAAATTGAAAATTGTGTTTTGAATAGGCAGCACGACAGTGTACAGTTCTGGTCCGGCATAATGGATGGATTTCGCAATATACAACTGTGGTTCGACGTTTCTTTTTATTGGGATCCGAAAATGATTTGTTATGTACGGGAAAGGTATTTTTATTAAAAAAAAAAAATGAAGGGTATTTACTATAAAACTTGATTTTTGAAAAAAATATGGTAAACAAAATTAAGGTGGGGCAAAGTGCCTAGAAAATCTATTTTTTTGTTCTTTTATACAATTTTCCCAACTTTAATAATCATTGACAAATGCAAATGTTTAATGTCTTCTATCTAGTTGATGCAAAAATTAAGAATTCCTCAACTTCTTGGAACAAAAAACAAATTGAAAATCCCTAAGACTAACTTGTTCATCGAGGAATTAACTTTCTAAATTTTGAGTTTATTATGGACATCTCCAAAAGCTTGACTTTTGGTTCCTACAATCCCAAAGCTCAGAATTAGGCTGGCAATTTCTACTAAAATAGTGGGCATCAAACTGAAGTCATTAAAAGCGAACAATATTCTATTGATACACTTCGTTTCTAAAGATGGATTTCTCGACGTATCATACTATTTAAACCTTGAGGCACTTATATTTATGGAATATATCAAGATTCAAGAACCCTTGTTATAAAATTATATTTATTTTGTCGAGAGAATTCCACTTCAAATACCCATCGTAGGGCACGTCCGCTTCGATAGTTCCCTAGGTGGAGAGAGAGAGAGAGAGAGAGAGAATGCAGTCTTTCATGAGAAGTGCCACTATTCTCTCTCTTCTAATGTTGGGCGTTGTTCTGAAGGTAAGGGGTGATGCAGTAGCAGATGAAGGCATGGACGACCACTTTCTCTCTCTAAACCAGAGGGCAGGGAGCAGGTTTCTTGCAGATAAGATCAAGAAGGGCACGAAATGTGACTTATCAAACAACGTTTGCCCAGGACTTTCTCTCTCTAACGGTTCGGTGCTACTCGAATGTTGCAAGAAACATTGCCGTAATGTGCTGTCTGATAGGAACAATTGTGGGACTTGTCTTTCCAAGTGCAAGTTCGGCGAGCTTTGCTGCCATGGGGTGTGCACAAACATTGCTTACAATGTAGACAATTGTGGCAAGTGTGGGCTCAAGTGCAAGCCTGGGGTCAGGTGTGAGTATGGGTCTTGTGGTTATGCCTAGAGAGAGATAGTGAGTGTAGAGTGTGATGGCTAGTGGTAAGTGCTTATAGATACTCAAATAAGTTAGAGAGAGAAAGAGAGATGGGTGGTGGTTTAGGGATGGAATTTTTTGTTGTTTTCACATAGGAGGGAATTGTATGTTGTGACAATACTGGTGGTACATTGTTATAGATATACAAGCCAAGCCTATTGTTGTTTCGAAACTTCTCTCTCATCAATAACAAAACCATGGTTGCATATTTCATTCTTGGTTTTACTACATATCAAACTGTGTGTGTTGTGTGAAAAGAGAGAGAGAGAGAGAGAGAGAGAGAGAGAGAGAGAGAGAATTTCAAGTTTATCTACCATTTTTTTTTTGTGTTATTTGTAGTATCCTTTATTGAGCTCTAATCGTTTCAGTGTTATTATTGTGTGTCGTTTCGTCTTAACTTTCATCAGTTCACAATGACTCGAGAAATAAGCAACATTTCAATGTTAGGGAGGAGTGATCTCTCTCTCTTACATTGAGTCTACAAAGACCATCAATCAATTAGTATTCTCCCCCTCTCTCACTCATGCTTTTGTTATTTTGCATGACAGAGTCGATCAACTGATTCAAACCTGATTATCATTCTTATTTTGCCTCTGCAATTTTAGTTTTTGACTTATTTGCACATCAAATGGTGCCTCTAGGTCTATAGCCTCCATAGATTTTTTGTCAGTATTTCCTAGTTTTTGTGAAATGCCAATTTAAGGAGTCGCATGTGAAATGGCAATGTAAGAAGTCATACACGTCTTCTCTAGACTTTTTAGAGGGAGACTTCACCCCCCAAAAAAAAAATAACAAAATAATAATAATAATAATAGTAAAGAGTTTGAGATTTCGTTGTTCCACGTGCATAGTATCAGATCTCTATGTATATATAATTACGAATGAGAAAGAATAGTAAGGAAGACCGAGAGTCTCCACAATCAAGGACAATAGAAGTGCAAATTACGCGTTCCCCATGTGGGGACATTTATGAGCAAAACTTTGCTTCAAATGCCTTTGTCAAAGACTCTTTGAAGTGCAAAACAAGTATATAACTATTGTGTTAAATAAGGGCACGTATGCCATGTTCTCTCGGGAGACTTACTTGGGAGGGAGGATTTTTTCGACCTACTTCAGAATTATTAGATGACTATTTTATAAAAAATAAAATAAAAATTGAAATTTGAGGTTTTTAACACCGTCACTATCTAAAAATTAGATGGTCCCTTTCAATCTCGAGATATTATTTTTTTCAAGTGCCTTAGAATTTTTTTTTTATTGAGATTAATGTATGGGTTGAAATCATTGTTGGAAAAATCAGGTGATCTAATCGGTATCCGCTCGTTTAGATGTGGCTGGTTTAGTTTTAAGCGGTTTTGGTGATCGGCCAGTATTAAAAAATAATTCAAAAATATATATGTAAATTCTCATAAATAAATAATTTGGTTTGTAATACATCTTTTAATATTCTTTACATTGTGGTACGACTAAAAATTGTTTTGGTCACTAAAAATACCCATAGGAGCAAATCGATTTTTTAAAATCTATTTTTTCATTAATTTTCAATTTCATTTGAATGTGTTTTGTTTTAATCATTCTTTATATGTTCTTTACATTTTAGTAGACTTTTTTTGGTATCTTTTTTAATTTTTTTGAACACTTTTTTCACCACCCGAAATTTGCCCTTTTAGAACGATTGAATTCGTCAGTTTACCAATTAGGCCGGTTAAATCACTTTCCGGCCGATGTCTAGTTAACCATTCCGGTTCGATTTTGTGAACACTGGTTGAAATGGTTACGTCCCTAAAATTTAGGTTCCTAAAATTATTTTTGGGTGATGTTTTACCCGAGAAAGAAAATACGGCGTAAATAATTGATGAACGGTGATGTCGGGAGAGTGGAACCCTCGAGAACATGACATGAACGTATGCGTTACTCTCACGCTGTCCATCCCACCATTGGACGGTGGCAACATTTAGGACCACAACTTATGATTACGTGCATCATGGTATGCTTTAGGCCGTTTATCCCACAAATCAAGCCTCCTCCAACGTTTTTCATGGATTGAACATTTTATCTGGCCCTTCCTTTTCTTTTTTTTTAGTCTGAGAGATAAAAATAAGTAAGAACTAAGAAAACGCTTGCTTACGATAAAGGGAAAAGTTAAAACCTGGCTTATTCAGATGTGATCCCTTTTGGAAAGTCTATTTTAAAGATGGCTTTGACTTTGAAATTTCACAGGTTGATAATCTCGATTACTAAAAATTGTGAACCTAAAAGAAAGATAAAATTAATTTTAAGCCTTAAAAATCTTTTGAAAGAATAGAATGAATAGAAACAAAAATAGAAACAAAAATAAAAATAGAAACAAAAATAAAAACAAAAATAGAAACAAGAATAGAAACAAAAGCAAAGTTTAGAAAAAAAAATTTTACTTTTATTTTAACGTTTAAACTTTAAAACAATCTTGAAGTTTTATTTATTTTTTCATTCATTGCCTGTGAAATGTAAGATAGAATTTTTGGAAGGAGACCTTACTCGAATAGGTGTATGGCATGGCTCTCCAAAACCCGATCCTAAACTAAAAGGAAAAAAAATTAAAATACAAGAAAAAAAGATTGAGATTGCAGGTAAATATCATAAAGTGAAAATCCAAAAGATTGAGATTGTACAATGTAAGATATAAAGTGATCGCTGCATACCGATGAAATTTAAGGGAAAATTCTATAGGACAGTTGTAATACCAGTTTTTTTTAAAAAAATCGAAATATTGAACGGTAAAAAAACAACATACCCATAAGATAAATGTAACTGAGATGAAGATGTTCAGATGGAGGAGTGGAAAGACAAGAAATAATCAAATTCGAAATGAATACATTCGGAATAATTAGGTGTGGCACCAATAGGAGATAGGAAGAAAGAAAGCAGACTTAGATGGACAGGCTACATGCAGTGCAAATAGTCCAAGTGTAAGGCTAAAAAAAATAAAGGATTGGGGCAAAGGATATAGTGAAAATAGTGAGAAAAGATATAGGATATATGACCTTACTGAGGATATAGCCCTTGATAGAGTAAATTGATAGACCATAATTTGTAACAAAACCCAAATAGTTTGAAAAAAAGCTTGGATGATGATGAAGAAGAAAAAGCTATGAAGAAGTTAATTTTCTTTAAAATCAGTAAGCTAGATAAGTTTTTGGCACAAACTTGTAGATTTATGCAAAATGTTGTTGGTTAATTTAAACCTTTCCTCAAGAAATATATGATGTACGAGCATGTAAGTGACACGCAAAAAGGAAGCCACAAGAGAATGAAAAAACCTTTCGTATTATAATAACAATTTGGAGGCCGGATCAAAAGTCATGATTTCGAAAGTACTAGGCCTCCTAGATAAAAAAAAGGCATATTTCCAATGGCATCTTCTGGAGGTTTGGATTTTTCGAGCCATGAAGCATTAGGGTTGGGAAAGAGATCAATATAGGAAAACATTCAGGTGCACAAGCCAGGTTGAGTGTTCCTGAAGTTCATTCAAAGATAGATATTTTTTACTGCATTACATATTCTTTTTCATTTTCTTTTTACATGTATTGTTAGTGTTTGGGTCCTTGAAAGCCTTTAAATTTTCTTTTCTTATGCTCGGGTACGCATTTCTTAGGGCCAAAACTCCATAACTGCAGCCAAAACTGCATATCTGTTGTAAAAAGGTATACCTAATTTGAAATGAGTAACTGAGGTTAAAATGAACAACGAAGGTTAAACTACTTAGCAAAAAATGAAACGGCTCCATTGGGCAATTCAATGGTCTATAGACATCGAATGTTAGGAGAAATAAAATTTTCAGATTGTTACCATCTACAATACTTTTTAAGATGTTTCATCACCATCATCCAAGCCTTATTCGCATATCCCAAATAATTGCTTTTGAGGTGTTTCACAACCGTCGGAAATGATTGTTTCAAGAACTGTAGCTTGTAAAAGTAATTGACGGTGGAAATATGGATTATGTGAGGAGAGAAAAACTCATGGATTTCTCAAAAGAAATATTATATCTGTAAAAACGAAAAGCAATCTACGAAAACAAAAAAGAAGAAACAAACAAAAAAAAAAACGACAACCAACCACAATGCAAAGATATACGTGGTTCGACAACGTGCCTATGTACACAATAGATACAAGCTTCTATACTGACAATATTATACAGAGATCTGCGTTTTTCCCCTAACCTTAACCCCATAATGGTATAAATTGCCTAAATACCCCATATACAGATACAAAAATTTCCCTCAGAGGCGACAGCCTCGAACCCTCGCAGGGGCAGAGTCCATCCAATCTACTTGGCAAGACGACTCCTCCAAGCCTCAAGCCCTTCGAGCCTTTGGCCCTTCGGGCTTTTAAGGACCATCCAAAGTTATCTTTTTTACTCCTATCTTTGACGGACAGATATATTTCCTCGTAATACAAGACATCAATCCTCGACAAAATCTTCCTTCCCCTTAATTTTTCTAACCCAAGTTTCAATTTGCTATTACAAGAACGGGGTAGCGCACGTCAACCGGTAAAACCGTCCAGCTATTTCAACATGCATATCATTGCTCATTTCCCGTAGATTTTATCATTCGAGTTTGCCTTTATAAGGAGTAAGCGAAACAGAATATAGATTCACAAATAATTTTTTGAAAGAAAAACTATAATTGTTACAGAATGCGACTTGTTTTAGGGAAAAAATTGAAATTGCTCTAAAATTGGAATAAATCCCAATACATAAAAGCCCATTACTAGCGCATCAAGAATTTTATTCATTGAATTTGGTGCACATGGGATGGTTATCCCCATAAGTCCAAGTGGTTTGGTGCTGTCTCTCTCTCTCTCTCTAGGAAGACAGTCACAGTTGGCATTAAGCAAGGTTGATTGATGTATACCACATTTCATAAAATAATAATTAATAGTGAGAGAGCTAACCAGCCTTCCTAGAGTGATCAACCAAAATTCAATTGGCCATGAAGAACAAAGTTAAAATGAAAAATAGGAGAGAGTATAATAATTGCTATGAAGGGAAAATTACAGGTCAAACCCTTTCTCAAAATCTATGAAACACAATGCATCTTATCTTAGCCTCCTCGTAGCTTGTGGTTTATTCAGAAGCTCACAAGTATCGGATAAGCTCAACTGCATATTTTCCTTTCTTTGTTTCAGTTATTTCTCCTATCTGCATTAACAAAGCTTGGAATTTGAGGAAAAATTGTTCGAACTCTTAAATCATTGTCAATATATGTGTGTGTGTGTGGAGAGAGAGAGAGAGAGAGAGAGATACTTTTAACCTCCCTTTCCCACTGATTGATACAGTATCACCAGTCTTGAGCGTAGCTCCATTTTTCGTGGCAGGGTTCCAGTTAACCCGAACATCCCCGTTACTGAAAGACAAAATTGGGGAGAAAAAAAAACACTCACAACATTCATTTGACAAATACGTTCGACGAACGCATGAAGGTGGACTAATATGATTCTCATAACCTCTACTCTAAGATAGAACTTTTACTCATATACTCGTATATGCGATTCATATACTCAGAGTGTATATGCGAGTGATTAAAACACCTGGAATAAAAAGGTAATTTGAGTTATTATACCTGATCAAATCAACAAGCTTTGAACGGGAGACTTTAAAGCCTGCACTGGCTATGGCATCCACTCTCAAGGAAGCCTCAACAGTCTTGAATGACTTAGTCCTAAACTAAAGTAAGTAATCATGAGAATGAGAATGCATGAGCTAAGAAATTCTTCTGTAAATTCATAAGAAAAACATGAAGCAAGGTTTGATGACTATATATCTGACTTCGGTGGCTGGAACTCCAGTGCAAGAAGTGGAATCTGATTACATGAAACCGTAACGTTCCCAACCTGAAAAGTGATAAATAAGAACCTTAATGAGTGGATTATATTTCAAATGAGAAATTTACACCATACACCTCTCCCAAACCAAGATGTCAAATACTCCAAAACTTCTACGAGGAGCCCAATACTCCCACTAAACCAACATCCAATCCCCTCCTACTTGTTCAACCAAAGTCTCTCTCTCTCCCCCCTGGTTCTCTTCCTTCTATCTGCCCTCCTCAATGGAGGACTCGCTGAGTTTTTCTGCTCTTCCTGTATTCATGAGAATTTTGTCACTCCATTTTCTGAGCAAGGATTCCCCAATATTCTTGTTAAAGTCAACCTTATTTTCGAGTGTTGTCTCTGCTGGTTCCTTGATTATCTCCACCTCCTCACATGCGAGTTCCGCCTTCTAACCAAAAACCTCAATATCTTCACAATTCTCATCATTTTCACTAGTTTTTCTCCCGCTCTCTCCATTTTTAGTGGTGGATTTCTCTTCTTCGTTCTTCTCTGGTGGCCCATACCTTTTTTTTTTTCCAAGATCCATTCCAATGAATCGACGTGATGGATTAGTTGGTGCACTTTTCTCAGCTTCAATCTCCTCAGTTTGTTCGAAGTGCCATGAATTGATTGGAAAGTCAAGCATGTCTCAAATCTTCACACTTCTCTCCACTCTTTGCAAGAAGTGCTGCTTGGTTTTTTGACTGTCCTTTCTTGGTGTGCATTCTTCATATGAGTCTGACTGAAATCATGTCCAAGGATAGAGCACTGCCATGCAATAGTTTAACCAAACAACAGAATCAGGCTAACTCCACCTTCTCTAAACATAAACTTTTGGACTAGCTTTACTGAGCTTCTTCGAGTTCATAACTCTGAATAAATTCATGATCACTGTTGACACTTCAATCACTCTAGTCTAAAATTGACAAGTACAAAACCATGAATCCACAGTAAATGTTCCAAGCTTTAAATTTGATCTTCTAATCTTCAATTTCCTCTTGATAATCAGACTAAATGATTTAGGCAATTTCATGTCAAGGAAACTCAAACAACAGAAATGGAGAGAGGATCTGTAAACAGAGAGTAAGTTTTCATGGGAAATTGAGGAAACCAAATATTGTGGTTTTGATTGAGAGAAGAAAGTGAAAGGTGAGAGAAACGAGGAAAAGATAAGGAAATTAGGAGTGGAAGATTCATAGAGAATGGAGGCTTTTGAAGGTTCTTCTGAAACAATTAGGAGAGAGAGGTAACAAGGTAACAGGGGACACAATGGTGACCAAATGAGAAAAGATTAACATAAAAGGAAGATTCATAAAAAAGCAAGTTGGTTCATCCGATGAGTTTGGAGAGAGAAAGAGCTGGTTACCATTGGCCCATCATTTCCAATTGGATCACGCCTATCTTTGATTTCAAAGAAAGAGGCAATAGTTTAGAGAAATCGTGGCTGTCCAGGAGAGGGAGGGAGAATGGTAGAGAGAGAGAGAGAGAGAGAGAGAGAGAGAGGTAGGTAGG